ATAATGCCCGGTTGTCTTCTCTACTAACACATTGAATTTTTTGAACACCTCGAATGCCTCAGATTTTTCCATCAAAAAATAAACCCAAGTTTTCGTTGTGCAATCATCAATAAAAGTGATAAAATACCTTTTCTCACTGAATGACTTTGGTGTGATAGGACCGCATATGTCGGTGTGTATCAACTCGAGAGACCTCCTTGCATGATATTATGTTTTTTTTTTAAATCTTCCTCGCTTGTTTGCTAAGTACACATCCCTCGCAAAATTTCTTAATGTAATCCATGTCAGGTACCTCGCGTACCATATCCTTTCTTGCTAACTCTTTTAGGCCACCATAATGCAAGTGTTCGAATCGTAAGTGCCACAACAATGCCTTATCCTCCATGTTGACTTGCAAACATCTTTCTCGCACCTTTCTCAAGTTAAGTTTGAACATTCGATTCTTGGCCATATCCACACGTGCAAGCAACTGACTTTTTTTGTCCTTCAAGTGCAATATTCGGTCTCTCATGAAAATTGAATATCCCTTCTCCAATAATTACCCCATGCTAAGGATATTACTCTTCAAATCGGGCACATAATAAACATCCTCAATCGATCATTCTTTACCATCTTTCTGAGAAAAACATATTTTACCTCAGCCCTTTACTTGAACCTTTGATGCATCTCCAAATGACACGTGCCCTTCTTCTATCTCTTACATCTCCACAAAGAGATGTTTGTGCCCGCACATATGATTACTAGCGCTGGTATCAAGATACCACACCGTGTCGCTGTCAGGAACGATATTTTTGTAGGCCATCATGAGAACACCATATTCTCTTGTCTCCTCTTTCGCGACTAGATTCACATTTTCTTCTACCTTTTTCTCGGAATAGCACTCCTTTGCATAGTGCCTATGATTTTCGCAATTATAGCATTCGACATTTGATTTGCACTCTTTTGCATAGTGCCCATGCTTGCCGCAGTTGTAGAACTCAACATTTGAATGATTTGACCGACCGCCTCTCCCACGATCACGTCCTCTACCTCGCCAATTTTGTTGGTTTGACTGCCCCTTCTCCTCATAGTATCCACCTCGACTGCGGCCTCCACCACCGCGACCATTGTTGCGACCTCCACGGTCGCGCCCTCTACCTCTAAAGTTTTGAGTATAGAGTACCTTTTCGTCTTTGATAGACACCTTGGCTTGCAGTGCTTCCTCAAGCGACTCATTCTTATTTTTTCTTCTTGCGTTGCTCATGTGCCTCTAGTGACCCAGTGAGATCGTCTATAGTTAGCTCCTCCAGGTCCTTCGACTCTTCAATAGCACATACAATATTCTCGAAATCATCAGTTAGTGACCGCAAAATTTTCTCCACAACCCTCGAGTCCTTTAGAGTTTTACCATTGCACTTGAGCTGATTTACCACAGTTTGCACACGCGTGATGTAGTCGGATACACCTTCCGACTCCTTCATCTTCATACCCTCCAACTCACCGTGTAGAGTTTGGAGTCTTACTTGCTTTACTCGGTCAGTCCCCTTGAATACTTTTTGCAACGTATCTTATGCTTCCTTGCCAATTGTCGCGCTCGCTATCTTTTCAAAGTTCGACTCGTCAACCGCTTGAAACAGCATGTATAGCGATGTCTTGTCCTTCATTCGTGTATTTTTCAATGTCTTTATTTCATTTACTGTCATATCTTCAGTATTCTCTGGTTCGGTGAAACCGTTCTTGACTACTTCCTATGCATCTTGGGCCCCAAGCAGTGCTCGCATTTGAATGCTCCAGTTGTTGTAGTTGGCTTTCTTCAGTCGTGGTACTGGCATACCCGACATTTTCTCGTAATTTGTCATTGGCTCTGATACCAATTTGTAAGTATTTGATATATATTTTGGTGGAGGGAAAAGAAACACAATTATCATAACAACTCTTGTATTATTCAAACTATCTTTTTGTATTTTCTCTCTTACCTTCTTACATGAGAATACAAATCTATTTATAGCCTTAGACACGACTCTTAAAATTCGTATTTAAAAACATAATTAAAACAACTCAAAATTAGAAAACAACACAATAAATTCTTACCCTTCACTACTAAAACTGCTATAACTTTCTCTAGAGAAATCCAATCGACTTGAAATTTGTTGCACCTGAAAATAGACTTCAATAGCTTTAATTTGATAGGTTATACACCCATAATGGTTAACGTTTTCCCCTTCAAATTGTCATTTAAAAACATCCTTAAATTTGTCCATTGTGCAGTTACGAATTTAATGACAAATTAAGTTTATTCACCAACAGTTTCGCTATGTTCTCCATAAACTTTCATTTATACTAATGATTTAGACTCTCATGTTCTTCTTTATCAGTTTATGTGTGCTTAAATACAAAAGATGCAAAATAATATAAATTTATCAAATTCTTCTATGATTTCTCAATTGCTTTCACTTAAAAATTAAATGATATTAAACCATTAAACATACCATTAAATATTGATTAAACAAACGCAAATAAACCACGACTTTGAATAGAGTGCTCTCCATTGATGTGCTCATCGCCATTACGAACTAGTCTTTGTAGTTTTACACAAGATTTCCACATATATTCTGAATCTCCTTTGAAGATCCATTTTTGTGAGCAAGGCCGGTTTTGAGTATTTTTTGTTTTGCCTCGAGGAGAAATAAAAAAAATCTCTTAGTTCAAATGAAATTTAAGAAATATGTAATATACAATTTATATTATACTTTTTTTATTAAATTAAACAAAAAGTAATTCATTATGATATAAAAAATATCAAAAATATATTCAAGCATGCAAATACTTATAAAAAAAACCTTATCTTCAAGCATTTCTTGATATAGAATCATTGATCATAGTGTCAACATCTATGTTTTTCAACGCATTTTTCTTAATACATAATATAGCATTTGGAAATAAAAGAACAATCTTATATAGAATTCGAAAATATATAAAAATCAAAAGAAATAATTTGGAAACATGATCTTATCTAGAATTTTAAGAACAATCTTCAATATGATTCAAGCACCACAATTGTCTTGAATGTTCTACATAATGCCTTTTATGATTAATGCAATCAACATATTTATATTTAAAAAAATTAGATAAAAATGTTTGATTCTTAACTAAAAATCATTTGTAACGGAGAGAACGTATGATAACTTGTTGGGCCTAAAATGAATTAGTGAGGTTGTATGTAATACTGATATATCACAAAAAAGATACCGAAAATTGTGATTTAATAAGCAATGGTCTTACAATTAATTGAAATTGTCTGACCAATGACTCAACAATGCCATTTTGTTTATATTCAATATTTATTTCAATAGACATGATGTAATATATGAAAGTTTGAGACTTGGATTCACCAACGTTATCAAGACAAATTGTATTTATGGAAAAACCTAAAAAATGTGCTCATAATTTGTTTACTTGAGCAAATAATCTTACAAATGATAAATTACAAGTTGATAATAAGGATACATGTGATCATCTAGTTAATGTAATTATTAAAACTATAAAATATATAAATGGTCCAACAAGAAGGGTGTGTCGACAAATATTACCATGTATTCGTTCTAAAAATTTAATAGATTCATATATAATTTGTTTTGTTTGCTTGTGCATGGTGGCTTTGACGAGACGTGAACCATTCGAGAACCATTGTCTCATTGGCGATTGCGAATCTGGCCTCATGTGTGTCTAATTTGTTTGTTGAAAAGTTGATATGAGACCATTGATGACATGTCCTCGGCAAGTGGGAGAAAAGAACATACGTCACGATCGTTGGGTTTCTTTTAGAACAAACGACTATCGCTTAGCAACGACTGCTCTCATCTCCTTGGGCATCTAAGGTTTTTATCTCAACTATCAGATCCTACGATTGAACGTTCTCGACAACGGTAGCGCACCATATTAAGGTTTTTGCATATTGGATTAGGTTAGGGTTTTGTTATAATGACTGTTTCAAAGCTTTTCAAAAGAAAAATCTCCAAAATAAATATTAACGTTTACTAACCTTCGAAACAAGTCTTTTTAAATTTAAGAATTTGGTGCAATAAATCAAATATAAAATTATGGAATTGTAGCTCATATTAAAAAAAGAGAGTTGTTGGTGTGCTCTACCTAACATTTCTCCAACGTAGAATATAAATTTATAAACGATTTTACTCGAATGACAGAAACTGTGGAAAGTAGATATAGAAATGTATGAATAAAAAACGAGAAGAAAATTGTTTGATAATGATTGCTCAACACCTCTTTATACGCAATGTTTGAATTCGAGACCTCAAAGAATAACAACAATGAAAGACGGAACTATGATTCTAATTCAAGGGGGCAAAGTATAAGTAACAATAGAAAATAGGAAGGATAAAATCAAAATAAACCAAAATGAGAGGAGTTAAATAAAAATTTAAAAGTCTAAATACATATTGATCTTTATATTTTTTAATAATAAAAAATCAGGGAAAACAATGACCTCCTAATCTTACACAACCTCGTTCCTAACAACAATACCTTTTTGATTTTTTGAGCAACAAAGAGTCATGTTAAGATAATGAGGCAATCACATTAGCACATCACGTGTGCAATGATCATGTTATTGTTCTGTTAAGTCATTAATGATGAAGTGACATAAGTGTACTTAAAACTAAATATTAGTGTTAAATTTAACTAAATTGAAAGTTTGATGATATAAATGTGTCGGCACTTAAAGTTTGAGATATCTTAAGTATTATTTCCTAAAATATTTGCATAAGTTAAACATTGACCAGGCGTTGAACTTTTGATTCGGTCACTGGGTTCTTTCACATAGTTGGGGAATGTGTTGCCTCTCTCAGAGTCATCGTATATTATATAACCTCCTAAAGCACGACTCTCCGCTTCACTAAAACACATCTAACCTTCTTCTCTTTCTTTGCTTGAGATTCTGTCAGCCATGTCTTATTATTCTTCTTCTTCTTCCTTGCTTCCACAAACTCTAAAAGTAGGCATCGTGGGTTTCGGCACATTTGGGCAGTTCCTGGTAAAGACAATGATCAAACAAGGCCTTACCATAAGGGCTACTTCTCGGACTGATCATTACCACCTCTCTCATCAATTGGGTGTTTCCTTCTTCGGGTAGATTCTATTCTAAATTTAATTTATATCTTCATAAACGGATGCTTTGTTTTTGTAAAACCCTATGTTTTTACAATTTCAGGGATCTAGTTTCATTTCTTGAAGCAGATAATGATGTGATATTGTTATCCACATCAATCCTCTCTCTATCCGAGGCCTTTACATTGCCTTAAACGCCGGACACTGTTCGTCGACGTGCTTTCGGTTAAAGAACACCCGAGAAACCTTCTATTGCAAGTACGATATTATTGTTTTTCTTCAATCCTCGGGAATATTTATTTTGTCCATGTTGAAAATGGTGGGTTTTCCTTTTTGTTTTTGGTTTTCTTCAGGTTTTGCCGGAGGAGATGGATGTGCTCTGCACTCGTCCCATGTTTGGACCTGAAAGTGGGAAAAACGGATGGATCCATGAACACGAAAAGCTTCGAAACACTAGTTAAATTGGTAAGAGGAGCCATGGAAACATAAAAAGCTAAAGGGATGACATAAAATGATGTTTGAATGCAGAAAGAAAGCACCACCAGTGACAGTTTCGATCTGTTCAGTGGAGTATTCATCCATAAGAGGTTTGCTCCGCAAAAGGTATGTGTCCAAAGCATCCAACTTTCTACTAACACATTTAGGAACACTAATGTTGTCTGCAATGATGCAGTTGAAGAACCTAGAGCATTCTTTCGAAATGTCAAGCAGAGGCTGCTAAAGAGGATGACTGAGGAACGAAATCTCAGCAAGGTCTGACCATGCCATGGTCTCTCGCTAACAAAAACGTTATAGTAATTTATCAGCTCCATTTCTGGTGTTTAAATGGATTCATAGATTGTAATAATAGGGCCAAGCAAGCCACATGATAGGCTAAAGTATACAAAAATGTAAAAAAAAAAACTAAAATATATGATAATATGAAATTTTCAAGGAAGAGGAGTAATATATGCAGATATATTTTTCGTATTATCGTTTTAACTTTGTTGAGCATTAATACCATGAAGTGAGTAATCTAAATTCCAATTAAATTGGATAAGGTCCAATTTACAACACTTGACAAGAAGAAAACAAAAATTTTACTCATGATATCAATCATTCATTATGCTTTATTGCTTGAAGTACAGGATACAACGCAGTTTGAAACAAAAAAAAAAAAAATCCAACAAACCGTATATATCTTCAAACTGTTTCAATATTAATGATAAGTTGAAAGTTAACAAATTTATGAAAAATATTATAAATCAATTGAGAAGAGAAAATATCATATTAGTAAATCTTTGAAGGTGGTGAAGACTTACTTAGAGTGAGGAGGTGGGGAAGTCTTGACATGTGAGGGGTAGGGTTTAGGAAGAATGGGATGAGGATGAGGCTTGGGATGTGTGGTGGAGGGAATTTGTAGCAATAAGGAGAGGGGCAGTGATTTGGCGGTGTTGGATAGGAGTTAGAAAATTTATTTTAAGGTGTCAAATTTAAAAATTATGTAACCATTTTCTTCTTAAGTTTAAAACTTTTTTTGTTAAATATATCTTAAAAGATAAGGTCAATTTATTTTTTAAAGGGTGTCCAAATCTTATGTTGAAAACATTTTTGATATTTCGATATAACAAATTAAATTTAAATAAATTTTAAGATTTTACAAATGATTTTACAAATGATTTTACAAATTATATTCGATTCAATTAATCGAATATCAAATTATTACTCCAAGTTTTTCAAGATCAATTTTAATCCTTACTAAATGTGTAAAATTGTGATTTGTACTTAAACTATTTTTGAAACAATTTTCACAAAGTATTTTGAACCAAAATCAAGCCTTAAATCAATTTTTCAAAGGCATGCACCGATGCATCAGTCCATGCATCGATGCACCTATGATTTAATTGAACATCGAATGCATTTCATGCACCGATGCATTCTCCATGCATCGATGCACCAGGCTATTTTTCAAACATCGAATGCATTTTATGCATCGATGCATCCTTAGTGCACCGATGCACTAAGTGTCCCAACGGTCAAAATATTTGAATTTTACACTGATGCACTGATGCATCCTTGATCATGCATCGATGCATGAGACGCTCCACCCAGAAAAATTAATTATTTTCACACTTAAACGGCTCTATTGACTCCACTAATCATTCCCAACGTTCAGAAGTGATTCAAGGTGTATTTAAACAAGCTTAGGAGCCATTGATCAAAAACAAGAAACATCAAGCAACTAGAATCAAGAGAGAATCAAAGAGAAAGCATCAAACCTCAAGTTTGAGCATTTCAAGCCTATTTTCATTCAATATTCATTTTACTTTCAAGAACAGTTATTGTGCTCAATTGTATTCATCTTTGAGTGTTCTTTTCTTTGTTCTAGAATTGTGCAAACAATCTACCTTGTGAGGTTTTTCTTGTAAGTTTGCAAATTTGTAATCTTCTCTTTGAGAAAAGAGTGTTATCAAGAATTTGGGTATATTCTTGAGGGAGTTGTAAGGTTATCTCTTTGGCCTCAAAATAAAGAAAAAATTATTGAATTTGTTGGAAAATCCTTAGTGTGGATAGCTAAGGTAGTGGACGTAGACTTTGGTTGATAAAGTCGAACCACTCTAAATCGATGTGCAATTTCTTTCAATTTTCTGCAAAAGCTTCCACCAAAAATTTTAATTGCCAATTCACCCCCTTCTTGGCCGATTCCGTCAATCGATTAACTCAACAATTGGCATCAGAGCCTAACTCATTTGAAGGTTTAATCGCCTCTTGAGTAGATCCGGGAAGAGTTAAATCGATAAAGATGGCGTCCACTTCCGGTTCATTCTCCATGGAAGAATCCAGACCAATTGACGTGCCTCCACACTTTAATGGAACAAATTATCGTCGTTGGAAAAAGCTTATGATGATATTTATCCAAACATTTGATATGGAAGCTTGGATGATGATCGAGAAAGGATATTCTTCTCCTAAAAAGAAGGCAAAGAAGTGGAGTGATCAAGAACGGAAGAAAGCTCAACAAAATACAAAAGCTATGCACATGTTGTGTTGTGCAATTGATCCTAATGTATATAAAGGAGTTTCTTCCTGTTCAAATGCCAATGAGATGTGGGATAAGCTTGAGGAGATCTATGGAGACAAGGAAGAAGAAGAACCAATAAAGGTGATGTCTCTATTAGCTCTCACAGAGCCAAAGGTATCTTCTAACTCAAATAGATTAAATTCAAAATCTTTTAATGAGTTACAAGATGCTTATGATGAATTATTTTCGGAGTTTGAGACCATGAACTCCAAATACAATAAATTGATTTCTAAATTTATTGCTAAAAATGATCTTCTTTTGAAAGCTAAAACAGACTTGGAAAATCCAAAATGAAAAAGGTTACTCTATAACTAGTGTTAGGAGTGATCATGGTACTAAATTTGAAAATCTTGGATTTATTGATTTTTGTAATTCTAATGGTATTAGCCACAATTTTTCAGCACCTAGAACCCCTCAACAAAATGGAGTTGTTGAGAGGAAAAATCGAACTTTAGAAGAAATGGCTAGAACCATGCTTTGTGAAAATAATTTGCCAAAATATTTTTGGGCGGAAGCCACAAATACCGCTTGTTATGTTGTAAATCGAGTAATGATTAGGCCAACTTTAAAGAAAACTCCATATGAAATTCTCAAAAATAAAAAGCCTAACATTAGCTATTTTCATCCTTTTGGATGTAAATGTTTTGTTTTAAACAACGGTAAAGAAAACCTTGGCAAATTTGATGCTAAAAGTGATGAAGGAATTTTTCTGAGTTATTCCTTGAATTATAAAGCTTATCGTGTATTTAATAAAAGAACTTTAGTTGTAGAAGAGTCTATACATGTTGTTTTCGATGATAATCTCCTTCCGAAGAATGATTCTTGTGGTAATGATGATGTAGGTATTGTATAAGCAAATAACGTTAGACATGACGTTGGAGAATCATCATCAAAGGAAGAAACAAAGGATGAGGAAACTCATGATCCCCTCGAGAATCCAACCATTGAAGAAGGGGAAGTATCTTATCCAAGAGAGTACAACTATGTCAAGGATGGTGAGGTTATAGGTGATCCATCCAAAGGGGTAACAACTCGATCTTCTCTTAGAAATATTTGTAATTATGTTGCATTTATTTCATGCATAGAGCCTAAGAATATTAAAGAAGCATTAAATGATGAACATTGGATTATGGCTATGCAAGAAGACTTAAATCAATTTGAGAGAAGTAAAGTATTGACATTAGTTGAAAGGCCTAGTAATAAATCTACTGTAGGTACTAGATGGGTATTTAGGAATAAGCTTGATGAGAGTGGTCATATAGTGAGAAACAAGGCTAGACTTGTTGCTCAAGGATATACTCAAGAAGAAGGCATAGACTATGATGAAACATACGCTCCCGTAGCTAGGATTGAAGCAATTAGAATGTTATTAGCATTTGCATGTTTCAATGAATTTAAATTATATCAAATGGATGTTAAAAGTGCATTTTTAAATGGTTTTATAAAAGAAGAAGTGTATGTGGAACAACCTCCAAGTTTTGAAGATTCAAAATTTCCAGATCATGTTCTTAAATTGACAAAAGCTCTTTATGGTTTAAAACAAGCTCCTAGAGTTTGGTATGAAAGATTGTCAAATTTTTTAATTGAAAAAGGTTTTTCAAAAGGAAAGGTTGATACTACATTGTTTTTAAAGCATAAAGGTAAAGATTTATTAGTAGTTCAAATTTATGTTGATGATATAATATTTGGTTCTACTAATGATGTTCTTTGCCAAGAATTTTCTAAGCTAATGCAAAGTGAGTTCGAGATGAGCATGATGGGGTAGCTCTCATTTTTCTTGGTACTCCAAATCAAGCAAAAAAAAAAGATGGCATCTTCATCAATCAAGCTAAGTACGTCAAATATATGCTCAAGAAGTTTGGACTGGAAAATGGCAAACCTCATGATACTCCAATGAGCTCTTAAACAAAGCTTGACTTAGATGAATGAGGTAAATGTGTAGATGTTAAATTATATAGATCCATGATTGGCTATAAATTATATAGATCCATGATTGGCTCATTGCTTTATCTAACCGCAAGTAGACCGGATATTATGTTTAGTGTTTGCTTGTGTGCTAGGTTTCAATCATGTCCTAAAGAATCACATTTACTAGCCGTTAAGAGAATCTTTAGATACCTTAAGGACACTCCTAGTATAGAACTTTGGTATCCTAGAGACTCTAGTTTTAGCTTGCATGCCTTCTCTGATGTGGATTATGAAGGATGTAAATTAGATAGGAAAAGCACCTCCGATACTTGCCAATTCCTTGGAAATATGCTGATTTCTTGGTTTTCAATGAAACAAAATTGTGTTGCATTATCTACCACTGAAGCGGAATACATTTCAGTCGGTAGTTGTTGTGCACAAGTTTTATGGATGAAACAACAACTTTTTGATTATGGAATTGAAGTAAGTACTATTCCTATCAAGTGTGACAATACTAGTGCTATTTGTCTCACTAAAAATCCCATCCATCACTCTAGAACTAAACACATTGAAATTAGACATCACTTCATTAGAGACCATGTCGCTAAGGAAGAAGTAGTTCTAGAATTTGTTGATACTTTGCATCAATTAGCGGATATTTTTACAAAACCCTTAGATAAGGAAAGTTTTTGGACACTTAGGAGAGAATTAGGTTTAACTAACCTATCTTCACTTAGTGTTTAAAATAATTCAGCACTTTTAATAAATACTGAAAAATGCTTATATTAATAATTTTTGATTGCATCCTTGCTATTAGTTAGGGGGAGTTTATGA